GCTGCCGCTGCCGCTGCCGCTGCGGTGGTGATTCTGGTTGTCGTTGTTGTAGTCTTATTTCTTGGTACTGTTCCACGGCTTGGGCTGCGTCTGCCATAAGCTGCTTGGGCGTGTACTGTCCTGCCCTCCAATCCTTGAAGCTCTCGGTTACAGACCCCTACAGACTTGACTACACGCCTACACGCATGAAGCTGCAGCCTTCAGACGCAAGGTTGAAGAAGCGGCGTTCTTTGTAGAGCTTGTGCTGCATCTCCTGTCGGGCAAACGCGTGCTGTCAAGCTCCTGCTCTGCAGACGAAGGCTTGCTGCCTTGCTAGCAAGCTGCCGTCCGAAGCTCGAAGCCTCCGCCAGACCCTGCACGCTGCGTAAAGAGCCGTCGCCAGCCTAGACAGCACAGGATTCTACAAAAACTGCACAATTAAAGTGCGCCAGAAGTTCAGGGCTGTTACACTGCGCTATCCGCCTTGAGAACGGTCCCCTTGCATACGTCTCATGATCTCAACGGAAGTTTCATGCTTGCACAACCTGCCTCCAAACCTCAGAAACTGGCTGTCAGAATTGTGGCCCTTGCTCAGGCTCTGCATTCGTTAGTGCCTCCTGATCATGTTAAGGGACCCTCTCAAACTTTCACAAGGGATCACGAAACTTCACATTAAAAGCACTAGCATCTTGGGAATATCCATGAGACGGTGGGGAATTTCAGTCTCAAGGAAGGGGATGCTTCAACCCCACACCCCAGCTGGACCCTGCGGAACCCTGAAGTTTGTAACGGGTACACCCAAAATGGAGGGCAGAATTCTATAAAAGGTGGATCCTCATAGGGTCTAAACTCTACGCCTTAATTAAAACCCTAAATCCCCAAAACGCCTCGGACCACGTAGGCCCAAACCGGCTCTACCGCAGGCCAGAGCAGCGCCGAGGTGGCGGATACCCGGAGATGCCTTCTTCTTGCTGAGAGGATCAGGGGCCAGGGGCACCTAGTAAGTGGGTCAAGCTACTATAGTATATGGGGGTTATATTGGGAGAATAAATCGGCTATCATGACTTTATAAAGCGTTCATCTGGATTGTAGCCTACTTGGAGGGTCAGGAGAACTTAGTAAGTAGATTTATGGGATAATTGGAATTGCTATACTGACTTTTTTGGTGTATAAGTATACTTACTAAGTCCCCCTGACCCTCCAAGTAGGAGCAAAGTCATGCTGGTTTGGGATTTAGAGTTAGGGTGGTGCACGGCTTGGGATTTAAGGTGATTCAGGTTTAGGGTTTAAGGTGGTTTGTGGGATTCCAAAAAACATTTATGGATTTATCGAGGGGTTGTCAGGAGAACACAAGGTCATCTGTGCAGCAATGTGCTTTCTGGGTGGTAGCCCTACACGGCCCTATAGTCGTCTGGAAAACCCCCTAACTGCAATCAGAATCCTACTGTCCTTTTTATTGGGTATGATAGCATCCCGAGTTCACATACCACTCACGTCATTGTTTCCAGTAATCGGGCAATGCAATAATCTTTACTTAGGGATTCCCATAGAAAGGGGCCCCTAACTTTTGAAACCCCCATTCAGCCGTCCCTCCAGTCAATCGATTGTTGCAGAGCACTGCTTAGCAAGGGGCGCGGGAAAGGTTTCTAAACATGTTTAATCTTACTCTGGGGATCCACCGCGCCATCCCACAAAAGAATGTCCCCTGTATGCCTCTGAAGAAAAATGCCTGGCAACTTGGAACCCCCCCATCCAGGCCACCCCCGGAAGCACAAACACAATCTATGGAATTTCCTTCCCCTCAGAAAAAGCTCCCACCTGTAGTCTGGCGTGTCGCAGCCAGCCCCAAAAGCATTTTGGGGCGCAAGGAGAGTTGCTGCGGCCTGGCATGTAAAGGCTTACCTAGTGTGGCGTTGGTCGTAAAGGGGTCTAGGGTGTATGTAAGGGGGGATGTTGAGGATGTTTAGGCTCACCCTCATCTTGGGCACCCCTTGTTACGACGAAGACTGGTCACATCAAAGAGCTGCCACGGGCGGCTCAAAAAAAAAGTTTAGGGTTTAGGGTTGATGAACCAACAAGACAACCAGAATTGAGACAGCAAGGGACTACAGTAGCTATGCGCGCTCTCATGCGATCATGCGCCGGAAACGTGAATTATCATTGTGATGTCAGGCTGCTGGTCTTGGGCTTCTAAACATATAGTCCCCCTTAAGTAGATAGACTATAAGGTATATGGGGGCCTTACTATAATATACTCAAAGCCATATTCTATCTACTTAAGAGGGACTATACCCACCTAACCTCTAAACCCCCTCTACCATCCTTTCTGCTTAGAATCAGTGTGTCCGCCTGGGATCTGCGAAGTACCCGGCATGTGAAGCTGCTACCCCTCAAGCCCCTCAATCTACAGGTGGTTAGTAGGGAATAAAGGAATACAATCCCTATAGAATCATCAAAGACTATATTCCCTTATTCCCCACTGACCACCAGCAAGTAAACATGGAATTCAGCAGAGCAAAAGTAAACACTCGAAATGATTGCTATAGCGTCAAACACTCTCAACACTTCCAAGAGAAAAGAAATTGATCAACGCACTGGGATGACCTGGGGGAATATCTGTGCGCTTGATGGCATCATACGCCAAGCCGCCCTCGATGGGGACGTCACTCTAGCCCAAAGAATACAGTAAACTGACATCCTTGCGGATCAGGCAACTTGAAAGACCCATGGGTCCTTGCCGAGATATGGTTGTTACGTTATATCCTAAGCACTGTACGCCTTCGCATTCTGCTGGTATAGTATACCAATATCATGCAGGATAATTGTGGCCCCTAAGCTTCACGACCTTCGACATAGCATGTTATCGTACATTCTAATATCTTGTAGTATATTGTAGAATGTAGTATAGTATGTTACAGTATATTGTAATATATTATGGTTTAGTATAATATATTACAATATTGGAGTATACTATAGTATATTATAGTATAATATACTATATTATAGTAAACTATAGTATATTAAACTGTATTATAGTATATTAGGTTCAGCAACGGAGCCTGGATCTGCAGGGAGTGGTCACGGAAGCCGGCGTGAGGGCTAACAGGCGCCAGCTGCCGACCCAACTCCAAGTCCTTCTGCCAGCTCGGAATTTAGGGTTTAGGGGTTTAGGGTTTAGGGGTTTAGGGTTTGGGCTTTAGGGGTTAGGGGTATCCCAAAAATCGGGGCACTTAGGGACGTCTAGGGATGTAGAGGGATGATTTTGAGAAATGCGGTTTAAGGGAGCTGTGATGTGGGCAGTTTGCTAGGTGAGTAGCCCTGAATAAAACTTGTGTAAGGCCCCTCTATCGGGCGATTTAAGCCTTACATGGGAAACTGAGAGGCAGCATACATGAGGATTCAGGAAGGGGGGATCCATCCCCCAACGCAAGCACCAGTATGTGCATGTTTTGAAGCTAGACCAACACAGGAGGACGACGGAAAGACTTGGCGAAATGCTGCGCCTCAGGGTCGCGCAATGTCAATGGGCAGCAGCGTGCACACATCATGTTCCTGAAACCTGTTGAAGCCTTCTTCTACTTGAGGGTGAGGTCCCGATGATGAAGCAAGTGAGACTTAGACCTGAAGCCTCGAAAGAATCACTACGCCTGAGTTGTTCCTGCATGCACGCTTGACCACTACGGAACAATACATCGGATGGTTTTCTCCTGTAGCACTGCGCCCTTTCAGACTCAGACCTTAAAAAACACCCCACATGAACGATTATCTAAACTCCCCCTAACGTAGTCCCCTGCATAATCCCCTACTGTATATGACCCCCCTCTAAGGAGTTTAGACTATAGCTCGCATTGCTTGAAGTGAAGGGAAGACTCTTCCCCGGAATTCTGCGATGGCCACTTCCCATCCGAGGTGACCAGTGGCGGCCAGACTGCCCAGAGACGATAGCTGCCAACCTCATCGGTTCATGGTACTATAATATAATATGATATGATATAATACACTATATTCTATTGTAACAGAATATAACATATTAACATAGTACATGGGGAGGGCTTGGGAATTAGTAGTGGCGGTGGGGAGGCTTAGGAGCAGGATATAAACTATAAACCCAGTTTCAATTTCATTGCCCATTTAGCATCTGATTGTGCCATATAGGGCTCAACCTATACCTCAGGGAAGGAGACCTGAACCCCACGCCAGAGCAAACGCAGCTGGCACCGGATTGGAGAATAGCCTGTTGCTCGGTTTTTATTGCTGATGACTGTGCTCTGTTTTCGTCAGCATGCACATTTTGACGACAAGGTGGGGGGGGGGGTATTCGGCTGTTCTGTATCTCGCTGGCTGTTCGTGATGAACAAGGGAATACAATCCCAGTATTGGCTTATGCAATATAATCCCTATGTCGTCTTCCCCTATTCCTGACTAACCCGCAGTGTTATCATATAGTCGTTTCCATGTTCTTTTCCATTATCCCGATATAAAAGCAATATATTCCCCCATTCCCTACTAACTGTAAACCCTAAAACCTCTGTATCTACATACATATATATATATATATATCATTTATAGCCCCAGTAAACTATCCCTTTGCGTTGCTACTTTTTGTTAGCACCCACTGTGGCTGCTTCTACGTACAAATCCCTAGGAGATGTCGAAGCTACCGAAACTTGCGTTGATTGTAATAGAATAGTATATCATATAATACCGACTAAATATCATATAGTATATTATAGTATAACATAATATATAGTTGCTTCAAGAGAAAACTTTTGAGTGTTGAATGTTACCCGCACAGGTTCCGGCAATGATCCGTTCTGAGAGGCGGGCAAAGTCTGTGAAGCGATTGTCGCCTTGTAGCTCAGCTTGCAGGACGTCATCGAAGGACTCCCACATGAACTTCATGGAGGCCTGTCGCGGATTCCAAAAAGCTTCCAGGGGTGATATATACATAGGGATTTACAAGGCACAACATGGGGAATCAAATGGAAATGCACATGGAACGTGAAATGTAGCTTATATTGCGCAGGGCTTCACGGCTACACTGCCGGACTGAAAGACAAAATAATGTAGTTAAGGGCCTTATAGGGGTAATATAGTAGTATAGGGGATATATAGGGGATATATTATAGGGATAACGGAAAAGAACATGGAAACTACTATAAGCACCTCGACCTTCTGGCATCCACGGCGGCTGACCAGATAACCCCAAACACCGCAGCAGCCGGTCGAGAGCAAGTCCTCGCCAGTCATTGCCCTGGAGCCAATGGAATACAGAAAGTATGTGTTCTCCTGCGTTGCTGCTAAGGAACTTAAATTAAGTTACCATAGTGGGTACATATAATAAGTAATACAGTACGTATGGTTTCCCCAATGTAGAAAATCAAATTAAGTTCCTTAACATCAATCCAGTCTCCTGCTGCAGGGTGGGCTTGTAGCCATACAGCTCTGCCATGAACGCTTCTTCCTCCGAACACGACGCAGAACACGGCTGCCTCAGCTGCATAACCTTCCGGCGTTGCGCGTACTGTAGGCTGCGCAGTCGCCAATCCAATGGGCCAAGGATGATAACATCCAGGACGTCCCCAGCGCAGTCAATGATGTCCTTCTCAGGGTAACAGTACCCTCAACTAGTAATAGCAATACTGAGAACAGTAACAATAATAATAGCAATGAAAGAATGATAATGAGAAAAGTATAAAGCAGTAACAGTTAAGGATGTCCTGCAGCACATCGTTAAAGTCAGCGCTGAGCACCTGGTCATCCTCGAGCACCACGACGAAAGGAGCTCCTTCTTCGAAGCCTTGTCGCAAGGCCCTCATGTGAGATAGCCAGGACCCAGCATAGCCGACGTAGTGCCTCTCCTGGTCGGCTGTGAGCGCTACACCAATCGCGGGGCGCACCTCATCCCAGCGTAAGGCAAAGTTTGTCAAATCTCGGGTGTAAGGCTGCCCCTGGCTGCGCCGCACCACGCGGTGCCGGCCATCCGTTGCGGCGAAGCGTCGTGCCCGCAGCTTGCAGCGATGGGCTTCTCGGCGCATGTCCCCTAGCCTGGCACGAGCTGTGCAAACCCTGGGCAGTGGTGCCAGCTACATGACAGATCAAGAACCAGCTAAACAGAGCCTCTTCATAGGTTGGCAGCTACCAAGGTCTTGACTCAAATGTCCCGGGGCCTATGCGGGCTCCGATCCAGATTCACCACGAAGACCGGGATGTCTGGTGCAGAGTTTGCCAAGGCACTTGGCGTGGACAGGCCCAGCTGTGGGTCGAAGGGAAGCTCCTGTGTGACCTTGTTGTAGAGCTGTTCCGCCGAGGTGCGGAACTGCCGGAGCAAATGAGCCTTAATTACTCTTAGCACACGTGAGGCAAGCATACACCCTCTCAGAAATTTCTGACCATTCCCGCAACTTCTGCTTAGTCTGCACGTCCCCCAAAGGGTGGTTCTCTCTCCGATTGGCGAGGCTCCTGGGGCCGCTGTGCGCGAGTAAGAGCCAGCGAGATGCGAGCCAACGCCCGCGATGAGTGCCCAAGACCTGCTCCAAGTAATTAACCGGTCCCAACAGCAATAGTAATGGTAATTGTAGTAGTAATGTAATACTTCTTGCGTGATACAGTAAATGCTCATCGATTCTGGCATGATGGGCACCAAAGATTTTGACATAGCTTGCCTTTAGTCCCTATATTATGTCATACCATGCTGACACAATCCCCTTCAATCTCTTCATATTTATAAACCCTAGAAACCCTAAACCCTGAACCCCAAACATACTTCAAACCTTCCCGAAGGAAAGGCGCTCAGAAGGCGATGGGCCTGGCGGGAGGTCTTCCATACCCCGCAGGCATGGATCCTTTGGGACGTCCTCAGGGATTCCAAATAGTAACAATGGCGGCAATAAGTTCAAACATATTTGTAGTCATCATTCATAGTCATAGTAATTCTCTAATAATGAGAATCCAGAAAAGATAGATAATATAGGAAATCTGAGCCTAGGGCTGCTGAATGCACAAACTGGCACTGGGCTCGTGCTTCCAGCCGATAAGGGAAGTCATCATCGTCATGGCAACAGAACTCATTGCAGTGGTGGTGACAGCAGCGTGGTGACAGCGACGCCAGTCTTCAATCATCACACTGAGAAACTCACCATGCATCGAAATGTCCAAATGGTGCTATAGTACTTTGATGTGGTGGCCATTTGCTTTGCCATCTCACCGTTGCATGATCCCTATATACTATTACCATTGTAAAGTGGTGCCACAGTCCCGAACTGGGCTGGGCGTCATGGAATCATGCGACTGAGGTCTGGATTGGCAAGAGTGCAGGCTAAGAAGTTGTATGACATCAGTGCTACCGAATTACACTGGACATGTAGTCAGTCCTCTGCCAGGCCACGCTTCGGACAACATTGGTCGCAGAATTCTCCTCAGAAGCCAAAAGTTGAAGTCCCAAAGCTTGACCCGAGCCTCTACAAGCCTCCAGTAACTCTAGTGCTAGTACTCCGTGGTCCAGAAATCTGTCAACCGATGTATGGGCAGGGCGCGTGTAGAGTCTGCGGCTGTTCTCCACAGCCGCGGCGACAGGCGCCAACACTCGTAGCAGCATCGCTGCGGTCGAGCGCCGTTATCTAAGAGCTCAAAGTCCCGCTCACTTGCATCCACGCCCACGCCACAGTCCAGCCACACACGCCAGCGCCCCGAAGCCAGGCAGAACTCCCCAAGCAAACCACGAGAATCAGGAGGCCAGGGGCCAACGGTTGCACGAAGAACGACAGCAGCTCCCGGGATGGGCACTGCGGCCTTCGAGTGGCCCTTGATTCGCCAGCTAACTTCCATGGCAAAGGCATCTATGAGGTCGCTGCATTCTGCCAAGGATAAGGCGACGCAGAAGTCTGCCAGATCTTCCAGGGAAAGCTCTGGCAGCCGAAGAGCTGCGGCACTGCTCACAGCAGACAAAGCTTGTCCCAGGCTTTGCCAGGAGCTTTCCTTGTTTCCCTGACCCATTTCCAGCAGCTCAGCCAAGGCCAAGGCCAAGCGGGGCAGAGATCCAACAGGCAGCTCCTGGACCCTTGAAGCCACGTGCTCCGCACATCGCGCGGCAAGACGCAGCAGGCGTTTGATGCCAAGAATCTTGCCGACACAAGGCTGGGCCAATGCGCACAAGATGGCTGCGATTGCGCTTGTCACGTTGGAGAGGGCGCTAGAACACTGATCTAGAGCCAAGGCTTCCACGGCATTGATTAGGTTCTCCTCGAGAGCTTTTGCAGTGAGGAAGACCCAAAGCAGATCTGCAGCCGCAGCGACGTCGCCCGTCGCCCGGATCAGGGTTGCCGCCTCCGCGCTGCGCTTTGATAGCGCCGCATCACCATGGGCTAATCCAATTAGCTGCAGCTCCCCGGCCAAGGACACCCACTCTGAGTTGTGGCAGGGCTGGGCATCTTTGGCCAAAGCTCGCAGAAGCAGACGCGTGAGGCCCTTACCACGCCTCACCTCCTGCTTCGAAAGCCCAGGTTGCAGAAGCACTTGAGCGATGGCAATCATTGTCCTGGCATGCATCCAGGCTACGCATTCCCCCGCTAGATCCCACAGGCCGTTCACCTTATGGAGGGCTTGCTCGTCGTCCGCAGCTGCGGCAAAGGCCGAGGCAACGGAACTGACCAAGGTGCGAGCAGATGACGACGCGGGTTTCTCAAGCGTCAGCTCTGGCCAGAGGCTTCCCCAGGGCCCTTCCTGGGTGGCACTTAATTCAAGTTACTATCTCGGGGAAACCCTATTAACTACCACACACAAACACAAACACACACACACACACACACACACACACAGACACACACAGACACACACACACACACAGATATATATGTATATATGTGTATATCCATTATGGTAACTTAACTTAAGTTCCTTAACAGCAACCCAGCTTCTTTGGGGCGTTCTTTGGGGCGTTCTTTGGGGGCATCCCGCTGGCTCTCTTTCTCGGAGGGTTCGTGGTGGGCGGCTTGCTTCAAGACCTGGAGACCTAAGGCTAAAGCATTGGGAGATGGCAGCCTCCCCGACAAGGCAAAGTGGCAAGCCCTGCACAGGAGCTCATCTTGGACTTCATATAAGGCTCCCAGGTTCTGACACCTGGGACATTGTAGCATCTGGAAATCCTACGGTACTGCACCGAGATGCTTCATACAGTCTTGATACCTGTTGACTCAATCAACTATCTTGCTGAGAGCTGCGAGCACTATCTACCCTGCAACACCAGGACAGTACACAGAACCAAGTCCACCACAAACAAAAAGTGTGGATCGTGTGTATCAACGTTTTCCATAGCATCCGACGAGCTGGATGGCTGCCGGGCATGTAGCAAGAGCAACACTTGCTTTCGCAGTCATATGAGCGAGTGTCTAAACTCCTAGCATACCTCTTAATAACCCCTAGAGTAGTCCACTACATAATAGTCCCCATATATCCCCTTTTTAGGATATAATTAGCACCCAAACCTGCCCCAAGGCTGCATCCTTCCCTTGGTCACTCTCTTCACCGCTTCAGAGCGAGGAATCTTAGTACCCAGGGTCACATGTGAAATTTCTCCATTTCAGATCCTCTGATGCAGATCAACCATAAACCCTAAACCCTAAAGCCGAAACCCCAAACCCTAAACCCCAAACCACCCCAAACCATAGACCCCTGAAGGCCGCTGTCAAAGCAAGCGTTGCAGAAAGCTCCCCCAACCTGGCCGGGGACCATATCCTGGCAAGCTGTGGCACTGGAAGGGTCATGAGTAGTTATGAATGTAGGGTTGGAGTTCAGGGCATATAGTTAAGCTTTGCGCAACTATTTAAACCGCCCAACCTGAGTTATAACCCCAACTTGATGTGCTTTAGGATCCTATAACCAACTGTCTCCATAGTCTCTTTCATACACCTTTCGAAATTTCTGGGCCTTTTCGAGCACTGCGTGCGTAACTGCATCCTCGGCTCAGGGATCAAAACGAGTGAGATACTAAAATAATGATAGTCATAATAATAATAATAGTGATAATAGTAATACTAATACTCATGATAGTAATACTAATGCTAATTATCCTGCATGACCCTAGATACCCTGAACCTTGGGAATGATGGTACTATAGTATCGTAAGGTCATGCTGGATTTTTCGTATCAACAGTAGTATCTCTGTGCAGATTGCAACGAAGACATGCTGCTCGCCGGCCCATGTGAACGGAGCAGTATTGGGCCAAGCTGCATCTGTCAAGGCATCATCTGCACGCTTCGTTGGGGGTGCCTCGAGGCAGCACAGCACCATTCCCTGCAACATCATGGCGCACTTAAGCTGCCGCTTCATGAGCACCGCATGGTAGCACACGACTTAAGGCCCACACAGCATGTGGATCCAGAGGACCGGATGGGTCCTGGCCGCCCACACAGTTGTCTGCAAGCTCAGGTCTGTGGACATCGGCCAGCAGAAAGGGATGAGAAAAGTTGGGTTGCCAACCTCAGGATACTTGTCGGGATCGAGCTCTCCACGATCTTTACCTGACGAAGTTGTGCAGGCGTCTCTTGTCTTACGCTGATACTTCTCAACGTCGTGGAATTGTGTCGGACGAGCTTTGTCAGAGTGTTCATCAAACTTTTTGGTAGTTTCCCAAAATATGGGAACCCCAATATAGAGCCCCAAATATTATAATCCCTATTATTGGGACCCCCAAAAGGGTACCCCTAATTTTAGGAAACCCCCTTTTGGCCTTTCATTGGGGATATGACTGGTACGACAGTTGCATCCCCAGACCAGCTTTTGAGTGGCTTCAACTTTGCTCATGAAAAATGCGGCCGCGACTCAGTCGTGACTTAGGGTATGTATTGAGGCTATATGAGCTACAGTCTTAACTCCTAGTATCCCCCTTAATAGCCCTTATAGTAGTTCCCTATATAGTTCCCTATATAACCCCCTTTAAGGAGTTTAGACTATAGCTCATATGGGGATTATAGAGTATATATTGGGCGTATATATATATATATGGGGATAATGGAAAAGAAAATGGAAACTACTGTATAGTATCTGAAAAAAAGCCGACTGGCCGGACTAAATCCGCAGTTTTCATGATCTTTTCCATGAGTACCTAAGTGCCCCTTGACCCAAGTGACGCTACATTACCTTCAGTATCCATTTCATTTTCCATGTTCTTTTGCAATTTGATTTCTCCGTTGTTGGAATAATATCCCCAATTAGACTCCGAACCCCAAGACCTAAGCCCTATAAACCCTAACCCCAAATTCCACCCTAAACCTTGAACCCTATATCTTAAACCCTTCATCCTAAGCCCAAAACCCTAAACCCCGAACCCTGACCTAAGCCCTCAACCTAGACCCGAAATCCTAAGCCCTAAACCCGACACTTGAAGCCGCTTCAGTTGGAGGCGCAACTCGCAGCTGAGGCCGTTGCCGTTGACTTGCTCACCTGCCCCGCAGCAGCATGTCCTCGGAGAACGCTACTGTTCCTTTCAAAGGGGATACATTATCGGGATATAATGCACATGGATGATGCATGGATGTATAGAGATTTGCAAGGATATCTAGGAGTTTGGGACAGACATGCTCCACACAAAGACTGCCTCCCTGCAATTTTGGACAACCCCGCCGTCTGAGCTGTGCGCGTGCAGAACATCAGCCCCGCACTTGCACTCTTGGTGGTCTCGTGCCTCCAATCGCGACAGCTAACCAGCTGCTGGTCGTCTTGAATCTGCATCCTTTCCTCAACAATATAATCGTTCCTGTCTTTTGTTCTTCTCCTTTAGTAGTCGCTGCTCACCAACAGCTGGAGCTATAGTCCCCCTTAAGAAGATAGAATATGGGGTATATGGGGATCTTATTGGAATCTACCCAAAGCCATATTCTATCTACTTAAAGGAGGCCTATATGCCCCAAGTTTCCATGTCATTTTCCATGTTCTTTTCCATTTGATTCTCCATTATAGGAGGATAATAGGGGATTATAACCCATAATCTATCTACTTAAGAGGGACTATAAGTGAATCCCAGTTTGGCGCCTCCAATGTGCAGCCGCAGGGCTGGAATGGAGCCCCCACCTACTCAGCTCCCCAAGGCGTTCGAACGCCAGGAACCAAGACTTCATCGGCCAGGCAAGAGGCAGGCAAAGAGTGTGAAAACTTTACCTGAAGCCCCGAAGGGATGTAGAAGAATGGTCCCTCTGACTGTTTCTTGGGCTTTTGGACAACTATTTTTGCCTGTTCTGGGAATTTAGGTAAAGCGCAGCATTTCTTGGGCTTTCGGGGAATTATTTGATCTAGGCAAAAGCAAAACAGCCCGGGCAACAGGACAGCTCCACCTACAAGCTATGGATAGACCGCTCTGCACAGCAGCTGACAGAACTAGCCATCTATGTATTTGAATAGGCGCGGTACAAAACATATTCTCTTATGTGTATATATATATAAATATACATATACATATTATGTGTGTGGTAGCCGCATAATATGTACATAATATATGTGTAGAACTAAGTACATACATATATATATATAGAGTATATGTATGTGTGTATACACGGGGTTTCTGGTGTTCAGGCGTCGCTTTAGAGGTTCACCTTCTGGAGATTACACTACTGTTGCACTCACTTTAGCCTAAAGACTTTTTTAACGTATTTCGCCTTCCGCTTGAAGAGCTTGAAGCCAGTTTGGAGACCCTCTTTGATGTGTTGGGTTTGGGGCCCAAATCGAATCAAAATCGCTCCCTTTAGATTGATCCCCAGAGCCCTCAGAATCGTGGCAGGCTTATTGAGGACGCCCATGTGAGGTGCGGTCTGCTGTCAGTGGGGAGCTACAGCTTGATGAGGGCGCCACATTGCTTGGGGGTATATAGGGGCAATCATTTCTGGGGAAGTAGCCTTTTGAGCCATTTTCAAAATTCCTCGTATCCCCCTTCATAACCCCTATAATACTCCCCTATATAACTCCCTTTATAGCCCCCCTTCAAAGAGTTTATACTATAGCTCAGTTAATCATGTGGGATGTGGCCACTGCAGGCTTTTGCTTGCTAGGCGAGAGCCAAGTTGTTCGGCGGTGGTCCGTTCACTTTGGAAACAGCGGCCTGCCAGACAGAGCGAGGAAGACATCTATGCAAGAAAATTCTGCGGCAAAGGGAAAGAGATAGTCCTTCGCGAAAATATATGCCTTGCCATGCTGGTGGTCCATCCGTAGCTTTTTCCTACCATGACCTCTAGAACTTTAGATCAACGCTGTCATGAAAGGCCCGCCGCGTCGGAGTGTGACACAGCTGTTCCGCAGCTAGACATCACATTGTCAGTTGATGGCTCAACCGCTATGATGCTGCAGCTTCTGCAGGTGTTGCCTGAGTAGGAGCAGAAAGCACCTTCCGCAGAGCTCCTGCACGTGAGTCAAAGCTATGGAGTCGAGACAAAACACTCAAGCTTGCAACTGCGCATCTTTGTCCAGACTCAAACAGTTGCGGCGAAAGGAGGCTGACGGCCTATCAGATTGTCATTGAAAGCACCAGCACTCACTCCTCTTCCCT